AAATGTGCCACTCATCTAGCTTCTCTTCCATTACTCGTGCATTCTAGGTTATGCTTGATAGACTATGCAGTGAATTAGGACCCCTATTTTATTTTTGATGAGCTTTATAGTTTTGGGTTTTGCATTTAAGTCTTTGATCCAACTTGAGTTTGTTTTTGTATATGGGGTGAGGTATGGGTCTTGCTTCATTTTTCTGCAGTAGATATCCAATTTTGCCATTTGTTTAAAGAGGCTATCTCTTCCTCGCTTAATGGGTTTTGGTCCATTGTCAAAGATCAGCTGTCCATAGATGGATGGATCTATTTCTGTGTTTTCGATTGTGTTCCATTGGTCTTTCTATCATTGTACCAATACCACGCTGTTTTAACTACTGTGGCTATATAGTAGGTTTTGAGATCCTAGAGTGGGAGACCTCCCACGTTGTTTTTCTTCTTCAGTAGTGCTTTGCTTATCCAAGGTCTCTTTCAGTTCCATATAGTTAGTAACTGGTTTGTCCATATCCTTAAAAAATGTAGATGTTATCTGGATGAGGATTACATTAAATGTTTAAATTGCTTTGGGTAGTATTGACATTTTCACAGTTTTCAGTCTTTCTGTCTATGAACAAGGCACATTCTTCCATTTTTGTAGAGCTCTTGTTGTCTCCTGTAGTAGTGTTTTATAGTTTTCTTTGTGTAGGTCTTTTGTGTTTCTAGTAAGATTTATTCCTAGATATTTTATCTTTTTGTTAGCTATTGTAAATGGTATTGTTTCCTTATGTAGTTTTCAGAGGCCTCTTTATTCATGTAGATGACCTGACTTTTGTATGTTGACCTTGTATCCTGCAGCTTTGCTGAACCTCTCTATTAGTTCCAGTAGTTTTTGTTTGTTTGTTTGTTTGTTTGCTTGTTTTTGCTGAGTCTCTTGAGTTTTCTTTGAATAGGATCATGTCATCTGCAAATAGAGATAGCTTTACTTCCTCTTTGCCAATTTGGATGTCTTTTATTTCTCTTTCTTGCCTTATTTCGCTG